ATTCTTCTCTCTCACGGCAGACTATCTTTCTTCCCATAATAGAAACATGACCACTGATATCTCCTGACAACATTGTCTACCTGCGGAGAGATCACCTCAATTCTCTGGGCCCTAAGTCCAAAAACCAGGCTTGAGCCACTGCGCCTGGCCAATCTAGTGTTCTTCAAAAAACCAACGTGAGAGAATAGGTCTAGATGATGAATGGGAACTAGTGTTGGACATTTTATGTGAGCTTTAAGGGAAAAAAGATTTCATTGAGAAGGTGAAGAAGCATTCATGTGCAACTTAGGATAAAACAAACAGACATGGTGACAAATGTTACGAAATGATATGCTTCATTCACTCAGTAAAAAACATGTTAATCCAGTATTCAAACGAGGTGATGGGTATATGGGTATATAAATGTGCATTATTCTATGTTTTCTTTCTCTGCATTTGAAAACTTTCCATTATAAAAGTAAAAAAATAATAACCAAATTCCAAAGAGCATCTTGGAAAACAAGTTGTGAGCAGCATGTAGAAGAAAGATTAGTCAATTTAAGTAAAGAGATTTCATAGACTTACAGACATTAGAATGAAGAAGGCCTTTAAGATATGCTACAGACCAGTCTTTTAGGCTTTGCTACTGGTTCTCCCGCCAAAAACGTGTGTTTGGATAAATCACCAAAATTCTGTGAGATTTAGATATTTTCATTTATAAGATAAGGGGGCTGGCTTAGGTGATCTCAAGTATTCTGTGGTAAACTTGCTAATAGTTCATTAAGAGGCAGGGAACATGTGGGAAATCTTTGTAACTTCCTCTCAATTTTGCTGTGAACCTAAAACTCGTCTCTTTAAAGTCTTTTTTTTTTTTAAGCTCGCTAAGACTATCTTTCAGGTATTAGCAAGGTAGATATAAGATTATGAGAGAGTCTAATTCCCCTGCCGTGTGTTCAAGGCCATTCATGCTCTGAGTCAAACTGAACTACTGTCCTCTGCACACATTTTATACCTCAGTCATTTCTTCTGTGCCTGGAAGATCTCCTTCCCTTCATCTACCTGGTGAATTCCTATTGCTCTTGTAAGACCATCTTGAATACTACTACTCTCATACTATCTTACAGAATTCTTTAAGATTTAGTGACCTCTCTGCTCACTGAAAAGCATATCATTTTTAAAATTTGGCATGTGGAATATACATTTTACTTTTTAGTCTCTTTTTGATATTTTAATTATTTTTCAAAAATATGTTTCTTCATACTAGACTATAAACTTCTGAAGAAGAGTGATCATACCTTAAATAGTTTCATATTCCCAAAGCATTAGCACAATGACTTACAAATAGGAGATTCTTGATAATACCAGACTCATTGTACACAGCAGGGAGTTTTATGCAAAATTAAGAGCCGGCTGTTTTGCTACAAAACTCTTATTGGCATAAACTAATCCTTTTTCTGAAACTATGATGATGGAATATAATTATTGATTTTTCCAAATAACCTTTTGTTGTGATAAGATTTTCCCAGAAAGCTAAAACCTTGGCAGAAGAAAATGTCAGTCAAGATTTCCTCTTGTTGGCCGGGCGCAGTGGCTCACGTCTGTAATCCTAGCACTCTGGGAGGCCGAGGCGGGTGGAT